CGCCTACTAATTAAAGAAACTAAACATGCAATCACATAATTAAACAACAAAAGAGAGGGAAAGATAAAAGACAATCTTACCCTCGAAGCGTGCTTAGCTCGATAACGAGCTCTTACTTGAAAGCTTAACCTCGCAAGTGCGAAGGCCTCCTACGGCTCGCACCCTCGACCCGACTTGAGCGGTCTTTATCCCGAAGGTTAGTCGGGACTTGACCAAATAAAACTAGAGTATTACGAAATGAAAGGTTTTCTCACTAATGATGAGATGCCTTTTTGAGTTCAACTCAAGTGAAATTTTCCCAAACCCAAAACTTGGGTATTTATAGGGAAGGGAGCCTTGATCTCTCTTCTCCCATCAATGTGGGAGAATTGCATTTTTCCCTCAATTTATTTTAATAAAAAACAAATTAAAATGAAAAGAAATCAACAAGCTCCAAGTGTCATATGGAGAGCAAGGGTTGGTGAGGACCACCAAAGGGAGGGGGGGGACCAAAACCCCTTGCTCCCCAAGAAAAACATCAAGACCAGTCCCCACATTTGATCGGTGCTGACCAGCTGGCACCTATCACCAAGGCTGGGCTGCCTAACCAGCTCGCACACGCATGCGTGTAGCAACAAGGCCACGCACGCAATGCTGGCTGCTGCTGCGATGCAGCGAGGGGCTGGGCGCTAGGCCTTGCATGCTAGCAAGCACGCATAGCCATAAAACACATACGCAAAGCACCATGCTTGCGATGCTTTCATGCTAAGTGCAGCATAGTTGCGGCTATGCGTGTGGCTGGGTGCGATGCCCACCACGCTAGCATGCATGCAGTTAGTGACCTCGCCTAGCCTAGCACTCGCATGGCTAAGCCAATGCGAGGCTACGGCTTGGCTCGTACTAGTTGCTTGCTTAATTCTACGTCTCATCGAATTCTAAATTCGACTTGACTTATGACGCTCGGTTTTGACGCTCTAAGCTCGATATCCGACGTCTTTGTTCGTAATACTCTAATTACTCATCTAATCCTTCAAATTGATATTTCGTCTCGAATCAATTATTCGATTAGGGTGCGAGCCAAAGGGTTCAGTCTAGATTAAGCAGTAATATTAATTACAAATTAATATTACTGATCGGAAGCGGCATCCACCTAGGCATTCTGATCACTTGACCTTACTAAAGAATTAGCTTTCTAATAATTCCGAACCCTCTATCGGAATAATACACTTGTTGGAAGGATAGCATTCCTTTCACTTCCAAACCTGATCAAGATTCTCCAATTCAATCGGCATTGTCATTTCAACAATGAAGTCGGCGAACACCTGACCCTTCACTGCCTTCCTTGGTTCGAAAGAGATTTCAAGACTTTGCATTTCAATAGCTCACTTGAGCATTTGGCCGGATGACTTTAGAGTTGTCATTGGCTGCTTGAGAGGTTAGATTATCACCGGATGTGCCAAGATGTAAGGTTTCAACTTCTTGACTGCCATGAACAAGGCGAGATTAAATTTGTCAATCTTAAAGTATCAGAGCTCTTCATTTCAAAGCATATGGCTCATGAAGTAGACCTGGAGCTGATTGCCGTCTTTCTCAACAAGGAGAACAACACTAAGGGAATGATCTAAGACGGCTAAGTACATGTAAAACGACTCCTTGGGAAGAGGGCTGACAAGCCTTGGCAAGGAGTGTAAATGTTGTTTCAATTTTTGGAAGGCCGCCTCAACATCATCCCCCCATTCAAACATAGTCTTTTTTCTGATCGCTTGGAAAAAATAGAGGCACTTGTCGCCTAACTAGCTAAGGAATCTCCCCAATCCCGCCAAACATTTAGTTAATTTTTGAACTTTCTTTACAGTGCGAGGTGACTTCATGTCAATAATCGCCTGTATCTTCTCTTGGTTGGCTTCTATCCCCCTTTGATCAATAAAAAATCAGAGAAACTTCCTAGACTCAACACCAAAGACACATTTCTTGGGATTGAGCATGATCTTGTGCCGCCTGAGTGTGGCGAAGGTGTCTCGGAGGTCAGCAAGATGATCCTTCAGTAGCTTTTATTTGACTATCATGTCATCAATATACGCCTCTACAATTCTTCCGATTTGATTAATGAAGATCTTATTAATCATTCGTTGGAAAGTAGCAGCTGCATTTTTCAAGCCTAACGACATTACAATATAACAGAATAACCCCTGATCAGTGACGAATGTCGTCTTCTCTTGATCTTTCTTCCACAGGGGAACCTGATGAAAGCCAGAATAGGCGTCCATAAAACTCATCAAAGCATGAACGGTTGTAGAGTCGACCAGAATGTCGATCTTAGGAAGTGGATAATTGTCCTTCAAACGTGCCTTGTTCAGATTTGTGTAATCAACACACATGTGCTAGGTACCATTCAACTTCTTAACAAGAATAACATTCACAACCAATCTGGGAAGTGACATTGTTGAATGAACCCAGTGTCTAACAACTTATTTACTTCGACGGCTGCCAGCTGTAATACCCCAATAATTCTCTCTTTAAAACCTGTAAATACCTTTAATAATCTGCAAGAGAATTACTGACATGCTACCGCCACGTGTTCAAACGTTAAGGCTAGTTCAGAATTTAACAGCGGAAAAACTAACTCAATTATAATTAGGTTTCCAAAAACAACAATAATCAAAACCAAAATTAGGCTTACAAGCTGGAACCAATATGGCCCTTATTCAAAACCCGTTAAATATAGTAAGTAAATCAAATCTGAGTCAAAATAAATACAACTTATGAAATAAAATGAAATGAAATAAACTATGAGGTTAACCTATGAAATGAAATAAAATGAAATGAAATGAAATAAACTATGAAATAAAATCCCATCACCTTGATGTAAGTTCGGATTAGGTGACACCTGTGATTAATCTGCTCCCCAATATTACAAGTGTAAAAATTGGATTATTACAGGGTCATTGAAAGGCGAAGGCTATGACCAAGAAAAGACACACAAAAGCACGCAATTGATGAGTGGCATTCATGCCACCATTTTGCCCTCTTTCATTAGAAAATTCCCTCGATTTTCCACTTGTTTATGCCTCTTCTTAGCACTTTTAATTCTATTTTAGTTACTTTAGCTCCCTCTCGTGTTTTCCCTTCACTTTTATCTTGTCTTCTACTTTTTACCTTTTGTTTGTGTGTTTTGATAGCTCCTACCACTCATGGGTGAATTATGGATTGCTAGATGGAGTGGAGATGCTAAGGAAGCTTGCCAAGGAAGTGGAGATGCCAAAAGGGAGAGGGCACGCTGATACGCAAGGCTGCGGGCACGGACAGGGAGGTCCTGAGCCAACGACAGTTTCTGGAGATGGCCAGCCGCGGGCTCGGCAATTCTGGTCTGGCGAACTTATTTCCTAGCTTGGAGAGGGCGCGACAACCTGTTCGGAGAGCCCTCTCCCTTGCCCATTTTCCTCATTATAATAGAAGAATATAAATAGTCTTTAGCTTGAGTTTTCAAGGAGAGACTATTCCATTGGCATCAAAAATACATTGTAGAGAGAGAAAATGCATGTCTTTTAGAGAGAGAAAACACTTAGTCTTCAAGATTTAATCTTTGTAATCAAATATTCGAGCTTTCTTCTAGATTGGTGCAACAACTTTGGTGATTGCGTAATCCTTCAACATTTATAATAGTAATCTTTTCTCTTATTTCTCTTGTACTTAGTTTTATTGTTCTTATTCATATTTTCTTCATAAATTTCTATGCTTTATTAGTTTCATTCATTTCTCTTTGACTTAGAATTATGATAGGTTGTGTTAGTATTGAATATATGTTTAGCTTAGTTGTCATGGCTATTTTCCTTTCTCTAGTTTGGATTTTTAGCTAGGGAAGGGGGTGAAAATCATGTTTATTTGAGTTGCCATTGATTATTGATTGGATTTTACCTTGAGTTGATGATTTGTGCTTAAATATGCTTGGAGTTATTATGTGCACCTATAACCTCAATGTTTTAGTCCTAGATTAGATGCATGAGAATGATCTAGTTTAGGGTTGATTGATTTCATCAACTTGCTTTGAGTAGTTTCATGAGAATGAATTTCTTTGAGTAGAGTTTTAACTCCTTGGTATATTTCCTCATTGATTTTCAGTAGTGTCTTGTTGGTCATGATTGGAACCCCCTCTCCCTAGTGCTTTTTTCAATTATTATCTCTATAATCTTGCCATTCATCTTCATTGTAGAGTGTCTAGTTTAATCTTATTAATGTTGGTTTGATTTTGTCTCTGTAAATAAATAGTTTGATCATAGAACTCTTCAAAAACTAAACCATAATACCCCTTTTTGTTACTTGCAATTTATCCTACATTTCGTATTGATTGTGCAATACCCCCGTTTCCTTGGGATTCGACCCTAACTTGCCACTATCTAAATTAAAATTGATAGAGCTAGGTTAGGAGATAAAAATTGTATATTTGATCTAGGTAGTAGTGTCGACCTATTATCCACCGATCAAATTTTTGGCGCCGTTGCCAGGGAAGCGGCTTGTTTTGCACTTTCATTGTGTTATTTTTGGATTTGTTGTTTTTTTATTTTATTCCTTACCCTCTTGCTAGTCATTGCTAATTGTTTGCTTCGCTTTGGTGGATGCAAAGGAGATCTCAAGGACCTCCCTCACACTACATTGACCATGAAATCGTCCGCACTTTGAGACAAGTCCGAAGACTTTATCAAGAAGATGGGCGAGGTCTTGGTGCTATTTTTGATAATGAGAGTGATTCTTGGTCTTCAAGCTCTCAAAGCGAGGAAATGGCGAGGCAAGAGAATGATATTTTGTTTCGTGAGTTCAGTAATCCGGAGGATTATGAGTTCACCGGAGGGATATTGCTACCCGTCACGGAAACCAACTTCACCATTCATCCTCAATACACTAGAATGGTTCAAGCGGAGCAATTTTCGGGTTCTCCAAGTGAAGATCCAATTGAGCACCTTGATAGATTCCTCGAGCTTTGTGCCATGATACAAACCAATCAAGTTTCTCAAGAATACATCTGAATGCATCTATTTCGACAATCTTTTGCGGGTAGAGCAAAGAAGTGGCTCAAGCAAGCCAAGCCTAATTCTCTCACAACATGGAGGGAGGTAGTCAAGGCATTCTTGAAGAGGTTCATTTCCGAGGAAAAGATAGCCGAGATGAGAAGGGTGATTGCATCATTTGAACAAGAAGCAAATGAGAGTCTTAGTGAAGCTTGGGAAAGGTTCAAAGAGTTGGTTCAAGCATGTCCTCATCATGAATACAATCAAAGCTTGCTCATGAGGTTCTTCTACGATGGTTTGGAACCTATGTCTAGAGCTAACTTGGATGCAGGGGCGGGTGAACAATTGATTAAAGTCCCTCAAAATCAAGTTGAAGCAACAATTGAAGAGGTAGTGAAGAACTACTCTTGGGGTGGTAGAAGGAAAAATGCACCAAAGAAAGGTGGGAAGTATGAGTTGGAGAAAGTTGATCAATTGCAACATCAAATTAAGCTTTTGACAAAAGGGCTTGCAAAGTTGAATACTAGTGTCAATATTGGTGCAAGCTCATCTCAAGTCAATTCCTTCTCTTGTCAAAATTGTGGTGGAATGAACCACGATACATCTTATTGTGGAGGTTTGATCCCGAAGCATGTAGCGGCTTATAACACAAGGCAAGATGGATATAGGGGAGGTGGCGGTGGAGTATCTTGGAGACAACCACCACTCGGATTTGCAACCCAACCTCAACAATGGAATCAACAAGCTCAACAACCATACAATTCGAACTCCCAATACCAAAACCCACCTCCATTCCAAACCCAAAAACAAAGAGGAAACTACCGAAGAAACAATCAACACAATAATCAACACCAATACCACAATCAAAATCAAGCGACTCAAAGGAGTCAAGAACAAGCATCTCAACCCGATTCTACTCATACCCAAATTCTTCAAGCCATGAATCAACAAATGCAAGAGGTCAAGGCTTATAACAAGATGGTTGATTCACAAACAGCTCAATTGGCCGAGAGAGTTCCTTTCAACTCACCTTCTACTATACCCGGACAATCACAAACCAACCCTTCCAACATTGTGAAACCCGACTCTTGCAAGGCAATCACATTGAGATCGGGCACATCCTATGAGTGAAGAAGAGGAAGTTAGAGAGGAGAACGATGGGGATAGCAAGGAAAAGAAGGAAGGAGAATAGAGTGTGAGTGAAGAAGAGGAAGTTAGAGAGGAGAACGATGGTGAGAAAGAGAGATGTGCGGAGAAAAATAAATCTAAAGTTGTGGTGACATCCTCAACTTATAGTGAGGCTAGAAATCTTGATGGACCGGTTCCTTTTCCCGGTCGACTTGCGGAGAGAAAATTGAATGACAAATTCGCAAAGTTCTTAAGTGTGATGAAGAACTTGCACATAAACCTCCCTTTCATTGAAGTTGTCACGCAGATGCCTTCATACTCCAAGTTCTTGAAGGACATTCTCACCAACAAGAGGAAGCTTAATGATGAGCTTATCACTCTCCGTCATCAAGTGAGTGCACTTGTTCAACATAAGATTCCCAAGAAGCAAAAGGATCCGGGAAGATTTACTTTGCCGGTAAAGATTGGGAACATGGAAGCTAGGGGCGCCTTAGCCGACCTTGGAGCAAGTGTTTGTTTGATCCCTCTATCCATTGCTCAAAAGATTAACATTGAGATGATCCCCACAAGGAAAACCTTGTGGTGAGCTTGAAAGATGTCCCTATTACAGTTGAGCATATCTATGTGCCTTGAGATTTTGTAGTGATGGATATGGAGGAAGATGTGGATATTCCCTTGATTTTGGGCCGTGAAGCTCTCAAGACCTTGGGGGTGGTTATCAATTGCAAGAACAACACTATTACACGTGAGGTAGCCGATGAAAAAATTGTTTTTGAATTCTCTAAGTTACTCAAGACCCCCATGGTTGAGAAGTGTTATAGGGTTGACGTTGTGAATGAAGAATTAGATCGTTTGGGAAGGGTTGTGATGAGCCCTCAAGATCCAATGGTTGAAACTCTTACATGTGAAGAAGAGTACCACTCTCAAGAAGCAAGGGAGTTCGTCATGGCCATTGAAGAAGCCAAAATGGAGGAAGAGGATGATCCTAGGGATGATGAACTCGAACTAGCGGAAAAAAAATTGGAGGAGAGTTCCAAGTCTCCTCCCAAGGTAGAACTCAAACCCCTTCCCCCATCTTTGAAATATTCTTATCTTGGAAATGAAGGAGAGTACCCTATCATTGTCAATGCTACCCTCGATGGGCTTGATTTCGAAAAATTGCTTGTTGTTTTGAGAAAATATAGAAATGTGATAAGGTATAGCATTGATGATATCAAGGGTATTAGCCCTTCTTTGTGCATGCATCGTATTCACCTTGAGGATGATCAATCCACCTCCATTGAGCCTCAAAGGAGGTTGAACCCCAACCTCCAAGAGGTTGTCAAGAAAGAAATTTTGAAATTGCGTGAAGCGGGTATAATCTATGCTATCTCCGATGGCAAGTGGGTTAGCCCGGTTCACGTGGTTCCAAAAAGGGTGGAATGACCATTGTCAAGGGAGAAGGAGGAGAGGAAATCTCCACCCGGACGGTGACCGGGTGGAGGATGTGCATTGATTATAGGAAGTTGAACAAAAACACTAAGAAAGATCATTTTCCTCTCCCCTTTATGGACCAAATGTTGGAGAGACTCTCCCATCATGCTTTCTTTTTCTTCTTGGATGGATATTCCGGATTTTTCCAAATCCCTATCCATCCAAGTGATCAAGAGAAAACTACTTTACATGTCCATATGGGACATTTGCATACCGAAGAATGTCATTCGGGTTATGCAATGCTCCCTCAACTTTCCAACGATGCATGACTTTCATTTTTTCTGAAACGCTTGAGAATGAGATTGAAGTTTTTATGGAAGATTTTAGTGTTGGTGGCTTGTCCTTTGACACATGTCTTTATAACCTTGAAAAAGTTTTGAAAAGGTGTCAAGAGACGAGTTTGGTGTTGAATTGGGAGAAATGCCATTTTATGGTCGAGGAAGGTATTGTCCTAGGACATAAAGTATCAAAAAAGGGCATTGAAGTTGATTCGGCCAAGGTTTCGGTGATTGCTAAGTTGCCCCCTCCTACTTCTGTTACGGGAGTGAGGGCCTTTCTTGGGCATGCCGGTTTTTACTGTAGGTTTATCAAGAATTTTTCATCAATCGCCAAACCTTTGACCGAATTACTCAAGAAAGATGTTGTGTTCAATTTTGATGAGGCTTGTCTTAAGGCATTCCAAAAACTCAAGGAAGCCCTCATTTCTTCTCATGTTGTGCAAGCTCCGGATTGGAGCTTGCCTTTTGAGCTAATGTGCGATGCAAGTGATTTTTGTAGTAGGTGCAGTTCTTGGGCAGAAGAAAGAAGGAAGATCTCATGTCATCTACTATGCAAGTAAAACGCTTGATGAGGCTCAAAATAACTATACAACAACGGAGAAGGAAATGCTTGTGGTTGTGTTTGCCATGGACAAATTTAGGTCCTATCTCATATGCTCCAAGGTGATTGTATACACGGATCACATAGCGGTCCGCTACCTTATGACCAAGAAGGAAGCAAAACTGCGTCTTATCCGTTGGGTTCTTTCGCTCCAAGATTTTGACATGGAAATGAGAAATAAAAAAGAAGCGGAGAACTATGTAGCGCAGCATTTGTCTAGGCTTCCTTTTGAGAATAAGGAGGATGTGACGATCAATGAGGAGGTGGGATTTGAAACCCTCATGGCCATGGCTTCAACACCTAGCCCTTGGTACGCGGACATAGTTTATTATCTAGCTTGTGGAGTTGTTTCTCCGGAGTTCTCCTCTCAACAAAAGAACAGGTTTTTCAAGGAAGTGAGGAGGTATTTTTGGAATGACCCTTACTTGTTCAAGCAATGTGGATATGGACTTTTTCGAAAATGTGTCCCGGACCATGAGATCGAAGGAGTTCTTGAGCATTGCCACTCATTGCCGTGTGGAGAGCATGGAAGAGTCGAAAAGACTGTGGCAAAGATCTCTCAATCTCTTCTTTGGTGGCCAACAATGCACAAGGATGCCCAAAAATTCGTTTCAAGGTGTGACAAATGCCAAAGGAGTGGTGGCATAACCAAAAGGGATGAGATGCCTCAACAAAACATTTTGGAGGTGGAGCCATTCGTTGTTTGGGGTGTTGACTTCATGGGTCCTTTTGTCTCTTCTTGCGGAAATCTATATATCTTGGTGGCGGTGGACTATGTGACTAAGTGGATTGAAGCTAAACCCTCCCCCACCAATGACCACAAAGTTGTGCTCAAACTTCTTAAAAAATTCATATTTCCACGGTTTGGGGTTCCTAGAGTGCTAATCAGCGATGGTGGTTCTCATTTTGCCAAGAAACAGTTCGAAGCTCTTCTCAAAAGATATGGGGCTCATCACAAGGTTGGCCTACCTTACCACCCTCAAACTCAAGGGCAAGTGGAGGTGTCGAATATTGAGATCAAAAACCTTCTTGAAATGATGGTGAAAAAGTCTAGAATAGATTGGTCTCTCAAGCTCGATGACACGCTTTGGGCCCTAAGGACGGCATACAAGACTCCCATTGGCACAACCCCCTACCGGTTGGTCTATGGGAAGGCTTGTCATTTGCTGGTTGAATTGGAATATATAGCTTGGTGGGCGATCAAGGAGCTTAACATGGATATGTCCTTGGCGGGTGAGAAGAGATTGCTTAAGCTCAATGAACTTGAGGAGCTCCGATATGATGCCTATGAGAACTCAAGGCTCTACAAGGAGAGGACTAAGAGATGGCACGACCGACATATAAGGAACAAGAGTTTCAAGGTTGGAGACAAGGTGTTGTTATTCAACTCTAAGCTTAGATTGTTTCCCGGAAAGCTAAATTCCAAGTGGTTGGGGCCTTTCACGATTTCGAGGACTACTCCTTATGGGTCCTTTGAGTTGGAGGCGGAAGGGAACGAGTTCATGGTCAACGACCATCGTTTGAAGCTCTACCATTGCAATGATCAAGTTGGCATAATTGAGTGCATGAGGCTCGATCCATCGGATCCTAAGCCATCCTTTTAATGACGATGCATTATGGTCAAGCTAATGACCTCATAATGAAGCGCTTCTCGGAAGGCAACCCGAGTTCTCAAACTTATTTTTTTGTTTTGTGTTTCTTTTGTTTAACCAATCTTGGTTATTTTTCTTTAGATTCTTATTGTGTGTGTTTTGCTCTTCTAATAGGTACTTGAATCTTTGGGGATTTGGTCTACTAAGTTGAGTTTGGAGAAGTTAAGGAGAAAGGAAGAAATGAAAGTGGAGATGCCCAAGAGATGGCCTGGAGAGGGCGCTCCATCAAAGACTGCAGGCGTGGCCCTAAGACCCACGGGCGCGGACAGGGGCACCTCAGAATTCAAAGAAAAACATGAGATGCCTTGGAGATGCCTGGGTGAGGGCACGGGGTATCCAGCCGCGGGCGCGGACTTTTTACTCGCGGATGCGGGCAGTCAAAGCCGCGGGCGCGGCCACGTGCTCATCTAAAATTTCAGAAAGCTGGAGATGCCAGGGAGCGGGCGCGGACAGGAAAACCTGCGGGCGCGGCCTTCCTACCCGCAGGCGTGGCCTTGCGGGTCTGCGAAATTTTAGCCCTTTTTCTCAGCAAAACCAAAACACAAAAATCCCCAAATTCTGAAATTTTCGCCCTTTTCTCCCTCTAAACCTCACTCCTCTTCAAACCCTAACTCATACTACATCAAATCCTCACCCCAAATCATCAAACTCCATCAAATTCCATCACTTTCCTTCAAATTTTCTCAACAAAAATCTGAAATTTCACCCTTAACAACCCCCAATTTCAGTGTTCCTCTGTGAGTGGGATTTGCTTTCACCATTGAAGGGTTCTTAGAGGTGGGCTTGATTTCTTCTTCAAAGGCTGGTAGGAGTAATTGTTGGTACTTATTGTTGGTATAAATTTCTCCCTTACTCTAATTTTCCTTTGAATTTGAAGTATGTTTTTGATTGAAAAAATTTTGTGCTTGTGATTTTTCATGTTGGAATTCTTAATGGTTTCATGCCTATATTGTACTCATTCATCATCTTAATCATTACTAATTGTTTAGTTGTTGTTTGTGTTAGTTGTTTCTTGACATAGATTGCTTGGTTGTGAGTTGTATTTGGTGATCCTTGGAGGTGTGTTCTTTGTGGCGGTTGTTTGATTTTGGAGAATTGTTGTGGTGCATTGTGGTTGTGATTTTTTGAGGAGTATATCTTGGTGATTGTATCTTTGTGTGGGTAATCATGGTCTTCGGTTCAAAAAAGAGGAAGAGCGGGAAGGAACCAGGTTCATCATCCGCAAACCCCAAGCAAAATGATCAACCTATCCCACCACCTCTACCACCCATAAAATTTCACCACATAAATGACAAACCTATATTCGACAACCTTCAAAATAGAAAATTGAGACCAACCAAGCACTACCACCAACCCACCACCACCAAGCTCGGCATTGACGAGGATTGTTGGTTCTTGTTCAACAACCTCGGGCTAGGCTCTTTTGTGACAAATGCCTACCGAACCTATAAAGAGCCAACCCTTGAGTTTCATGCCTCATTTGAATGTCATTCCGTAAGGGATAAGGACCTCACCATCTCCTTCCAACTCTTTAACAAAAAATAAACCCTCACCCTCCGCCAATATAACCAATTGTTGGACCTAAACTCGGACACCGATATGTTTTTCCCCGAGCATGAGGGCCTTCATGCCTATGAACCCCTTCATTGGTGGAAGGTCATCTCGAGGATGGACGCCTTCAACTCCAAGTATTCCTTGGCCAGCCAAATCATGCACCCAGCCATCAGACTTCTACATCGAATTCTCGGGTACATGGTCTTTAATAAGCAGGACTTGGGAAAGATTACAATCGAGGAAATCCAAATATTATGGCTAGCTACGCAGCTGGATTTGGGGCATAGAATGAAATTCGGGTATCTTTTTACTAAGTGCATTGAAGGTGTCCTCTCGGGTACAAATAAAGGGGAGATCCATTTTGGTGGGATGATCACTCGGATAGCCGAGAAATTGGGCTATATGGATAAGTTGGATTCTTGCACCCTCGTGGGGAAGAGTGACGGAAGTGATATCTGGCTCGATCTCGAGCAGCTGAAAACAACGAAATTCATAGCAGATACGGAGGATCGACGGAGAACTTGGAGTCTGCTAGTCTCCCACGAGCACCATTGCTTCCTCCTCAAGCCGAAGTTCACTTCCTTCACGAGGGAGGGTGTTAATTACCCTTGGTGGGTAAAGAAGGATACAGGAATCCTCCCTAGTGCAAGGATGGAGATGGGTGAAGGGTCCGGTGAAGGTTTTGAGCATGAGGAGGATGAGACCGTGATGAGGACCACCCCTTTAAGGCAGCACCAACAACAACAATAACATTCTCAACAACAACAAGGAAGAAGGCAACAACAACATCATCAACATCAACCCAGCTACCAACAAGAAATGGAGGCGATGCAGGCCCACATGGAAAGCATGCATCTTGGCATGCAAGGTATGTTCGCCTCCCATCAACACATTTCTTTCCAAACTAATGCCTTGTACGATGCAAGTGTACGTAGATGGGATGTTACTCCCCTGGTTAACTACCCTTATGTGCTGGCCCAACAAGGGCCCGTGCCTTCTTGGGGGGGGGGGAGGTGACAACCAACCTACGTACCTTATTAGCAGGGTCCCTTGGACCCCAATGTGCCGCGGCATGAGTTCCCCGATGAGTCCGGTCACTATGACTACCGGGTTTCAGGTGGGAGTGATTATAGGGGTGACCCCAACTACCCCTACGTTGATCCCTCTCACCCCTCACCTCTGGTCCAACCCGAGCCATATGACCAGTTATCTGCATCCCAACTTGACCTCTTCAAAGGTCATTATGGGTGGCCCCCCGGCTATACCGGAGGTTGGGACCCCCATGGCCCCCCCTCGGGTTTCACCTATGACAGTTGGAGTGCGGATGACGATGGTGTCGGCCCTAATGGCCACTAGTTTCCCCCTCGTTCTGTTTGTTCCCTCCCTTTTATTTCCATATCCATGTGAAGCATCGGGGACGATGTTTCAATCTAGTGTGGGGGGGTGTTTGAGTCAAAATGGAGTGTTAGGGAATTCTTTGGGTAAGTGTGGGGGAAGGCCCCTAGGACTCAAGGGAATGTTTAGGGGATTTGGGTTTGGGTGTTGTTGGTTAGCTTGAGGTACCGTTGTTGTTGGTTATCTATGATGTTTGTTTCTATGATGATTATGATGATGATGAATGATGATGATGGTGTGTTTGGGTAGTAGGTCATGCCCAAATATTTGAGTTCATGGATTTTTCTCTCTCTCGTACTAACATTTTTCTCTCTCTGTAGTGTTTGTTTTGTTTTTCTCTTCTCTCACTCGTAGCTCAGAAGGAATTTTGAAGCAACATATGGTGAAATGGTAAACGACATGGTTGCTTTATTCTTTTCTTCAATAGACATGGGTGAGATCTTTCCCTTACTCTCTCTTTTCTTTCTTGTGTTGTATTTAGTTTAGGATGTAGTCTAGGAAGGAGTTAAATGGTTCGGGGATGTTTGCATGCGGTTCCAAGGAACCTGGGATTGTTGGTTTTATTACCGAATGATCATTTGTATGTCGATTGGGATTTATTTGGATCTTTATGCCTCATATGTGAACCTTCTTGATTTCTTCCTCCTTTTATTTCATTTTCTTTCGTGTGACAAGCATAATTATGGCATGATGATATGGTTGTGTTTTTGAACTTGCTTGCTATATTTGGACTCTATCTCCGTGATGATGCGCCCTACAATGCTTGTTTTTTCTTAACTTTGTGATGAGATGCACATTTTGAGATTGTTTTTGATTGAATTAGACAAGCCTTAACTAAGGTAGCAAGGGTAAGAACTTGTGAGGGCGTTTGAACCCCTAGTTCATGGGATGTGGTAAGATGGAGTTGCTCCCTGTAGTGGATTTGAAGCCCTCTAGTTGGTATTTGCTTACTTTTCTTGTCCCTTGTGAGGTTCAATTTGTTCAAGCCTACATCAATTTGTTGAGTGGCGTTTTAGGATCCTCAACTATGCATGTCTTAATCCTTGTGTTCATTACTAGCTCCCGAGATCGTGACCTAGCACTTTTAGGGGAGGAAAAGGGCACCATTTTTCATTTTTGTTTATGTTTACTTTTATTTAGTTACAAATTTGATTTTCCATTTTTCATCAACCTACTTGCCAACCAATTTGAGCCTAATGTTTCCCAATTTTGTCTTAACCGCATTACAAGCCTAACGACCTATGTTTTACCAACCCTGTTAGTTAGTGAAGCATTTGGCATGTGAGGGTAATGTAATGAGCGTTGTGATCATGAGCGTGAATTAAACGGAGAGTTGGTTTGGAACAAAGATTTGAAATGTAAGCTTGAATATGAGCATGCGAGAAAAGCTGTAGAAGAGTAATGCAAATGCAAAAGAGAAAAAAAAAAGTGTATATACGTATGTATATATTTGAATAAGGTTGGTAATGTATTGAAATCGATATGACGGATGTTCGTTTGAGTTGTGGTTGTTCCTTGAGTTTTGTCTAAGAGAGTTGGCCATCCTCTTGCTTCACTTAGGACTTGCCACAATTTTTTCAAATGCTCTCCCTACCTCTACCTTGAGCCATGTCATTACAACCCTAATAAAGACCCTTAGACTTTAGGAGTGCGTGGTCAATAACCGGTGGAGGGAGATGGTTTTCAACCCTATGGAGAGAGCGTGCATAGTTGAGATGTTGGGATGATCTTTTACCTCCTCAAAATAAATCTTTTTCCGGTTCCTTCGTGGAATCATGAGGAGCCATCTAGGGGGACGATTTGAAACTAGTGGGGAGAACGTGGACCGTTTTAGAGGGGACTAGGGCGGAAAATGACTCACTAGTTCTCTATGCTTAGCTTAGGCTTGACTCTTGCAACCATTGGCATCTTGAAGCGTGCATGCATCAGGTAATTGAGAAGGGATAGCATTCTTTGACGTTTGTTCATCATGGTTGAGTCCGAATGAAGCATTTGTCCACCTT